CATTCCTGGCACGAGTAAGTGCTATTTGAATGGATAAAGTGTTTTTTTTTCTTTTTTTCCTCTCTAACTAAGGGTCCTAAATGAAAAAGCAATTAGTGGCCATATGTTATACTACTTGTGATAAGTTTTTGTTTACCAAAAACTATCAAACATCACTGGGATGTATTGTTGTTGGTGAATAATGCAATCAAGTAAATGCCATGATTGTGGCTTTGTTTCTGATGATTGCAGGTGGAAATCAGAAAGTAAACAAGAGTTGGATGTTGTTTTTTTATTATGAGGAAAGTTTAAAAGTATGAACATGAATTAAACAGCTGAAGGAAAGAGGTTAGATCTGGCAGATCATATGAAGAGTGAGCTGGTGGTATATAGCAAGGAAGTGTATATTCGCTGATGAGGTGTGTTCATGCAAGGGCTCTCCAAGCATATCCAGAGCAGTGACGTCGAACCCATTGGTGGGTAGCTCTGCATCAGCTGTCATGAAAATTGGCTGGCCCATGGATGGATTGGGTCTGCCCTTAACTGTGCCTTTTGCTGGGGAAGATCGGAGTTTCTAAGCACTTGATTGTTCTTTTTCTTCCTTCCTGAGCTAGTTACAAAACAAAAATCTTGGAAGTGAGGGTAGAAAAGAAGGTGCTCCAGCTGAAGTAGGAGAGTGTTGGACAGATGAAGGGAGATGAATATTTACGCGTTCAACAAAAGAAGTGAGTCTTGTGTTGGAATCAAATGCCTGAATTGGATCAAATGACTCCCTAAGGTGGATGTCCTCAGTAGAGGTTTCTGGTTGGTGCACGTGGGCTTTGCCAATAGCCTTCAGTGCAGCTGAGCTGCGTCATGCCTGTCGTGTCCCAACACTCCGTCATGCCCAAACACTCCGGGAGTAGTGGGAGGACACAAGGCCAACGGGAGGGCAGAAGGCCGCAAGCACTTCCCTTCTGAAGACCACTTTAGGGAAATGCTAAAACCTGTCGTGTGACTTGCAGAAGTCGATGCTGCAGCATCGACTTCTGCTTTTGGTGGTGCTGCCCTTCTGTTCATATCTCAGTTGGGAAAAGAAAAATGCAAAGAATATGACTGACATTTCTTTTAGAAATGACACATGCCACCTTCCTGTGAGGCAGTTGGTATCTCTAAAACCTTCCTTGTTTGCATACAAATCCAAACAGATTACTCAGAAGACAATTATTGTAAGCATAGAGGAAGATGAGAACAAGTAAAGCAGTGCTATGGGGAGCTTCGTCCAGTTTTAGTTTGGAGTGAGTAGTCAAAGGATCCACTGGGTCTTTCATCATGAAGCACAAGGCTTATCGAGTAAATGTATGAGAGGAAGATTCAGACCTTTGTGACTTGGGGATCACAGGGAACTAATTACTGAGCTGTTGGTGCAAACCAAGTCTCTTCACTTGCCATCAGAGCTTGCAGGCAGCATAGGTTGA